GCATTTTTCGACCCATGTTTATATAGACTTTATGCATTAATTTTAAAAGGTCTATCGAATCTTAAAGTTATGCAACAATAAACTGAAACACCCTGTATATAAATGAACTAAAAGGAGCATGTTCTCTATTCTTTCGGAGTAAAATTAATTATTTATAAGGATAAATACTTATTTAAAAATAATACACCTATTACATAAAAAAACTCAATAATTAAACATCATAATAAGTTATAAAAGGCAGTACTTGTGTCATACAGAGATTAAAAGGGGTATAGTTTGAAAACTACTGCTAGTACACTTTGATAAATTGATTTTACAGCTTTTATGCTTAAGAAACGCAATTAATATGAAATATTGCTATATTTAACAAAGTGAAAAAATAATCGTTTTTGTTAAATAACGAGATCAAAAGTATCCAAATCTGGATCACTCAAAATTAAGATTTATAAACTTAGACAAATTATCAGATCGACAGGTTGCCCCTAAAGGCATCTAGCATGAAAAACGTGTTTTTCGAAAATAATAAATTACCCATCCTACATTGTTATATACTGCATAACCGAGATTATATTATAAATTTGTGAAATGTCTAGATTCGAGAAAAAAAATTAAATTAAAAATTAAAAGTTTTGGTTAGGTAATGAAAATTTCGCAAACTTGATAATCCACTGCATATCACTGCTTCTTTGCGTTCTTTTTAGATCGACTAATAAAATCATTTTGCCCGGAATATCGCCAAAAATAGTAAAAACCGCACTTTTACCGATTTTCTCCAACTTTCGGCATTTAAAGGAATACATGTATATATTTGACAATGCTAACGCTAGTTTCTTCCCTGTCCTAAGTATTGACCATCTGGCAACGTTGCTGGACCACACCAGTGAAACACGTCATAGTACCAGTCACAATATTACAACCCAACATCCCTGCCGGCGATGCAGTCAGAGGCAAGGCGGATGTCTTGCCTAAAAATACTTTTCTCAATTGGCAAATGTGCTGGGAAATATACTAAGTGACATATAAATCCGAACACCCAGTTTAAATGGTTTTATTTTAATAAAATTTTGTATAAGTACTTAATGAAGCATAATAAGTATAGTATATGATAAAAATTTCAAAATGATAGCACTGCTTTAAAGCCCTTTGACCTTTAATAATGTGTGGATGCACCTTGATGTGCTACGCATTCTCCAACGCGCCTAGGCATGCTTCTGATCAGGTGGTCAATGTCCTCCTGTGGTATGTCATTCCAGGCAACCACCAACTCCTCTCGAAGTGCTTCTAGAGTCTGAGGAGGACGTTGCAAATTGAGCAATCTCCTACTCATCATATCCCACACGTGCTCAATTGGGGAAAGAAGTCTATTGTGACTCTAGCAACATGTGGTCGGGCATTATCTTGTTGGAAAGGTGGATCTGCCAGGGTGTCAAGATAGGGTAAAAGATGGGGTTCTAGAACTTCGTGGATATAACGCTGAGCGTTCATGTTACCTCTGATGAAAATTAAAGGTGACCTGGAACCATAAGCTATAGCACCCCAAACCATAACTCCAACAGTGTGATGAACATGTCTTTCAACAAAAAACTGTGGATTCCTCCTTTCACCACGTCGCCTTCTAACCCTGGCAAGACCATCGTGCATGCCTAAACAAAATCGAGACTCGTCACTAAAGACAATACTGTTCCATTCCTGATCCCAGAGTGACCGGTGTCTGCACCACTCAAGGCGATTACGTCGGTGTTCTCGAGTTAAAGGGAGGACCCAGTGTGGCCGGTATGAAAACAAGCCAAAACTTCTCATTCGTCAGTAAACACTTCGCATGCCAATAGGTCATCCGTGTTCTGCAAACCATTCATTTGCAATGGACCTGGTAGTGGAGAAAAAGGGTCCCTTAAGGCCAATAATCTTAGGCGGCGATCTTCACGGTCTGTTGTTCTACGGCGGCGTCCAGTGCCCCTTGCTGTTTGCGTACGTCCTTCTCAAAGCCATGCCTGACAACACCTAACCACAGTGTCTACACTTCTTTGCACTCTAACTGAAATTGCCCGAAAAGAAAGTCCAGCTTCCCGAAGTCCCACTATACGGCCCCTATCAAACTCACTAAGTTGACGAAATCGTACAGGTCTCCGTACTCTAGACATAGTAACCGATCGTAAAGGATGTCAAGAACCAAAATCCGCCAACGTTGATTCTTTACTGCGGCTGAAATATTCATTTTTAGAGCGTTAGTGAATTAAAAAAAGGCAGTATAAACACCGGAATGTCCAACTGATATAATTTTTTCACTTGTTATTTACAGTTAGATAAATACATTCACCAACTTTTATTAAAATAAAACCATTTAAACTGGGTGTTAGGATTTATATGTCACTTAGTATATTTGAATTGTGAAATATGTACTGATAAGTGCGTAAAATTACTGGTGTCGGAAGCGTATAGATATACTGCTACCAACAACATGAGTTATACCTTCCCTCACCTCCTACAACCCCTAACCTCCGATTTTTGAACAATACTAACATTTTTCTGAAAATGATCAGGAGTCAAACTCCAAAAAACGACGTTTGAGCGATTTTAATTTTTTTCATGTTTTTCGCCGTAGCACCGCCGCCACTGAACCGATTTTATAAAACTAGATTTCTCGTCCTTGGTATAGTAGCGACCTTGGGTGAGAATTTCATTCAAATCCAAGCAGTATTTTCCGCGTTTGGACCGGAAAACATATCTCATTTTCGAAAAATTCCGCGCTTACAATACTTCCTCACCAGTAGACGTGGGAAATAAAACTGAACAGAGTATTTCTCTGAGCAGATCGGAACATATTTCCCGGACTATTAGTTACAAATACAACACAAAAAAAGTTTAACTATGCTCTAGCATGCGCCAGTGTACCTCATGCAATTGCGGCACACCAAATTGATTTCATAAACGATACTACGGCATACGTTTTACCTTTTACGAACTACTAGTCGTGTGCCTTGCACCGCGTTTTTAATCAATCTTCTGCTATAGACTAGTCACGGAAAGAACATTCACTTTCATTTTGAGATATACAGAGAGCAGATATTTTTAGATTGCGAAAATGCAATTTCTCATTTTCATCGGCGAACTTTTAGTAATTTAGGGATTAAGTGATTAACTAAGAATCGATTTTTCTCTTAGTAGTATTAATCGATTGTTCGACCATCTACTTCTAAACCCTTTGTAATTAAACATTATGTTCTACTTTTTAGTTCGGTTAGTTACAAAAGCGTGTTTTTTTTAGTTTTTTTAAACTATTGTTTAGTTTTCATTTTTTAGTTCGATTTATCAATTAGTTTTGTGGACATGTGGTATTGAAATGGTTTACGAATCGTTTCGAAACCTAATCATTTCATTTAAAGTTTCATTGTTGCATAGGGTTTTTCCTGTTAACTTAGAGCAGAGTTCCCCAAACTTTTTTGTGTCGTAGACCCCTTGCCATGTTTTTCCGTGTTGGGTAGACCCCTTACTTACCTGATATTGATTTCCTGTAAATTTCTAACTGTAGTGAAGTTTAGTGTTAAAAACTTAGAGTAAAAACACATGCTAATTTATACATTTATTAATCGAATTTAAATTAAAACTGGTCAAAATAAGGTTTTGTATCTGTTATGTAAAATATACGTAACATTAAATAAACAGGTGTCTGACCAATAAGTGCCCGCATTGAAAAAAAAATAAGAGGGAGAAATTAAAAAAAAGTGAAAAATAATAAAAAAAAGTTTTTTACTTAAAATAGTACAATAAGCGAGTTCGTTTATTAATTATAACATAAAAAATAATTTCACTGTTAGTTTGATTAAATTCCGCTTCTTATACGTTTAAGTTATCTAAAAATTGGCCAAAAACTAACCAATTTTTAGTCTGTACCTTCCTGAATTTTCAGAATAATTTAAAAAAAATATTTTCTATAAAGGGGTTTTTTTAAGAAAAATAATGCGGGCACTTATTCCCAATGCGGGCATTTATTAGTCAGACACCAATAAACATAAAATAAACTATAAATAAAATAACATAAGCAATAAATCAATATTTTTAGTGAGAAGGATGAACCTGATGCTTTAATAATAAATTATCAACATATGGCGTCAATTTTGTAAGGGTTAATCTTGAATCTCCTCGGCTAATGATGTCCAGTCTGTTTCTTTTTTCGTTAGGAGATTGGTAACAGGGCTGAACCCCCTTTCCACTAGGTATGACGATGGAAAGGAAATTAAAAATTTCCTCGCTATATTCAATAATACGGGATAGTCAAATTAACCTCAAACCTAGATTCAAAATCTGAATAGAGGGCATTTAAATGTTGAACGTAAGTTGAAACGTCGTCTTCCTGGCAGCTTGTCTGTGACAAATTGGGGAACTGAGAAAATTCGCCCCGTCCAATATTTTGCTTCATTAGTTTAACTCTGGCAAGAAACGCTGATAAGATGGACTTTGTTTTAATCAAATTTAAACTGTCGCCTTGTAATTGCAAATTAACCATATTAAATTTTGTAAACAAATCTGTTAAATAGGCGATGTCTGTTTTCCTCTTCATTAAATTTTCTTTTAAAATTTTATCTTTAGTATCCAGAAATTCTAAAATAGTCTCAAAAAGTGCAAAAAATCTTGTCAAACATAAGCCTTTCGACATCCAGCGTACTTCAGTGTAAAGGAGTAATTGATGAAAGTGTTCGTCATTTCTTCACACAACTGCGCAAATAACCGCGTATTCAACGCGTTGCTTCGGATTCGGTTTACTGCATCAATGACTAAATGAAGTGATTCATGCAATCTAACATTTTTAGCAACTAGATATTGTCGATGGATGACGCAATGTATTGCTAACACCTCTGACACATTTTGTTTTAAATAGCTTATAAATCCACGATATCGTCCAACCATGGCAGGTGCTCCATCTGTAGCTACTGATATTATATTTGATAAAGGAATTGCTTTTTCAATGAAGTAATCCTTCAAAACATGAAATATTGATTCACCTTTAGTGTCGGTTATCAAAGTTCTTGCGAAGAGCAGTTCTTCGTAGATTTCTTGATTCATAATAAAACGAACATATGCCAATAATAATGCTGCATTATCAGGTAAAGTTGACTCGTCCAGTTGTATAGAGAAATTGGTCGTTTGCAAATAATTACATAAGAAGTTTTCAATATCAGAACTCATTTCATCAATACGTCTTTCAACAGTATTGTTGCTTAAGGGAATTCTTTTAATGATATCAGATGCAGGTTTGTGTAAAACAGTTTTTAAAACCTCTTCAACGGCTGACAAAATTAACTTCTCTCCGATAGTATGCGGTTTTCCGGATTTTGCTATAAGTAACGAGTTATTGTAAGACGCCCGCAAACCATCATCATTTCTTTGTGACGTCGAAGCGAACATTCTGTCCAGTGTAGGTCTCTTCTGAAATTTATCTTTGATGTTTGAAAGTATTTCAAATCTTTCTCTGTTTTATCAGGGTGGCATCTTCTTAGATGATCTTGCAGTTTAGATGGTTTCATAGCGTCATTGCCCAAACTTTGTTGCATAAAAGGCACATAGGCGATTGTTTGTCCGGCAATGATGGAATGAAGCCAAATTTCAAATAATCAACACTGTACTGTCTACATTTCTTTTTAGATTCGGACATGGCATCAGTCATCTGTGGGCAAAATTAAATTATTTAAATAAGACAGAAAATCCAGCAGCTGTATATTAAAAATATTTTTTGATTTTTCCGAAAAAAAACTCGAACATCTTCTGAAACAATTAGCTCGAATTACGGAGATTGCACTGTAATTATATTACCGATTGCTAAACCCTTCAAAAAGAAACTATTGAGGAGTACTCGTGTAATTTTGCATGATTGAATATTTAACTACTAATAACTAAAGTCAAAATTTAATAAAAAATAATGTGCTTACTTTTCTCCGCACTCTCAAACAAAATAACACTGACTCACTATAATTGGTGTGTTATACTATCTGTTAGTATTTTTTAAAATATTTTCTTAGCACTTTCCTTTTCACGACTCAGGAAACGAATAAACGTATTTGTCCCACATTCGTATTTATAGAGTGACGAATTGAACAAGTCAGTGCAAGGTAGCGAAGCTCTGAGACTGCGACTCTCAGGTTTCTACAAGTTCAAAATGTATTGCGACCACAAGGCGAATACCAACATCCCCTCAACTTACACAATTTTATAAACATATATAATAAATTTTTTACTTCATAGGTACTTTTATGAATAATGTATATGTTTTGATATTATAAGATAGTATGATGTAAGTAAATAGGTACTATCAGTGTATGTGTTGAGATCCACTATCGTGGATCCCCATCTTCATTTCATGGACCCCCAAATTTTTTTGCTGACGTAAACCCCTTGCAGGTTGTCATATATGACTTAGGGCAAACAAGTCCTTCAATCCGAATACCGTCTAAAGATCTTACACGACTAAGGGTGGATTTCACTAGGATTGTCAAATCAACAGTCCGTTATTCTCTACCTATACGGTAACAGTCCGTCAAATACAGCGAATGAGCTTCAAATCCCAATCGACAAATTTTAGCAGCCAATAGCTATGAAATGTTGAAAACCAAATACTGTCAAAGTATGAGATGACAGTTTGTCATTGAAACATCACCAGCTCATTGAATATTAAGAAATTACATATAATTTAGTCAAAATCTAATATAGTGTTAGATTTTTGAATGAAATTCATGTTTCTTTTTAATATTGTCGATAGTTTATTCATGTTTCTTCAATTGATATGCGAGTTTACTTTTTGGTTGTTCAGGAACTGAACAAACATGCACACTATATTCACAGCGATTAAGAAATACTCAAATATATGTTGTAAAGCTACCGGCAAACTTAAAACCTGCAAAAAAATAGAATTTGCAATAACTTTCTTGTTTTACTGAGTACACATTCTAAGTTATATTTATATTAGACATTATTTGAATAACAGCTGATTATTACATTTAACGTTAAATATACTCTACTATGCTTTATAAGACTATACGTGGAATTTTTCCCAAAATCGTTGCACAACACTTGAAAAAATGCAAATGAAAATTTAAAATTATTTCCATGACACCGCAAAATAGCTCCGTCGGTACCTCGGGTTATACATATACATCTAGACAGTAGGGATATTCGATACGATCCTATATTTAGAAGTATCGATACTTTTGCTTCTTATACCCTATATTTTGGATCGATATTTTCATATACGACACTTGGGTATATCGATACATTTCACGAGTATCGTCATCTTTCGATCCGGACTGCGTCAGAAGAGTGTCAGAGAGCTTTGACAGCTTCCGTCAAATTGCATTTCGATAAGGTCTCTTTCTATTGGTCCAACTGACCGTCAAATATTAATGTTGGTCCTAAGTGCTTGATTAACTTGTCTAGCAGCAATCAGTCGCGAGCGAGACGTGTGCGAAGTTTCAAATTAATCAAACTTCTGGAAATTGGTGAAAGCTATGCTCAAAGACTCCTTACATACGATAAAATACATACATACAGCCCAAGCTAATAATAAAACCGTGTATGAAACTTAAAAAAAAGGTATAGAACAATTTGCCTCCTGTGAGGATTGAACTCACGACAGAGGCTTGTAGTTTTAGTATTCGTAAAGAGGCATTTGAGATCCGTCGCTTTTATTAACAAATCTGTTTTTGCAGAATTTCACTTATGAATAAGGATAATGGGAAGCTGTTATCAAATTAATAAAACTTCTGGAAATTTGTGAAAATTATGCACAAAGGTTCCATCACATACATACATACATACAGGCCAAGCTTATAAAAGCGTGTTAAAAAGTTTCAAAATTCAAAGTACTTCCAGGTAAAACTGACTGACTGATAAATAGAGTCTCATATTCTGATTTCAAAAATGTAGAATATGTCATACATTGAAATTACCAAACTGTAGTTATAGCAAAAAAACAGAAGTTCCTAGGCAGGCTACGAAATTATCACATAGTCATCTGTTTCGTATACCAGACGTAGACTTCAAATTGAACATAGTTACAGAGTTTGGAAGACTAAGAAGGAAAATAAATTGAGCAGTGAGCAATGTACAACGAAAAAGTGAGGCCTTGCCTGCAACACTGAAATTAATGAATGAAATTTTCATTTTGTGTTCAGGTTTTACATTATATTTTTTTTTTCTTATAATTTAGCCGTTTGGTGCGAAAACATTTTCTGGGAGATTTTATTTTCAATGAATCTATTTTTAAGAAAATTTTCAGTAGTTCCTAAATGTGATCAAAAACAGAAAAACATACTTCCTTATCATAAATTTCAAATGGACGACCATAAGCTTTTTTGTTCGATGCACAGATCGCGTTGTTGAAAATGAGTACGCAGATTGAGAGAAGCTAACTTTAGTATCAAAATTACACCAGTTTAAACGTCGTCGGATTTATTCCATTATATTTTTTCAGAATTTTAGGATTTGTCAGCTGGGCTATACTACTGTCCACCGCCAGCATTCCGGAATTCCTATCTCAGGTTTTACATTCGCAGCTTTCGCAAAAGATTTGTCTAGCATATTAATCGCTGATTAAGCTCCGTATTTGCAAACGTACGCTTCAGTTTAGATTTACATATGTGCATTTTATGTCGGATTGATTGAAATTTGCATTGAATTTTTAGTCTCGCTAGTGTCGTATCACAGCCTTCATACCTGAAAAAAAAAGCTCGCGTTGAGCCTGAGTTGTTCATCAGCATTTTCATGCTTGAATGCAGTTTTACTTTTGATTTCTGATCCTCTTATATCAGCAAAAGAAGAAATAAGTGCTATTTCTACAAATATAAAATTAGCAATTGATAGTACAGGAGCCCAATGGGGGATTTTGGGGATTTACTTAAGCGCCCTTTATAGGGGTACGCCTAGGGTGTCCGATCAGAATAGTAAAGGAGTCGATGTTAGAAATACTCGACCAAGGTGGGGTAAATTATACTAAGTGACATATAAATCCGAACACCCAGTTTAAATGGTTTTATTTTAATAAAAGTTGGTGAATGTATTTATCTTACTGTAAATAACAAGTGAAAAAATTTTCAGCCTTATCAGTTGGACATTCCGGTTTTTATACTGTTATTTTTTTAATTCACTAACGCTCTAAAAATGAATATTTCAGCCGCAGTAAAGAATCAACGTTGGCGGATTTTGGTTCTTGACATCCTTTACGATCGGTTACGATGCCTAGAGTACGGAGACCTGTACGATTTCGTCAACTTAGTGAGTTTGATAGGGGCCATATAGTGGGACTTCGGGAAGCTGGACTTTCTTTTCGGGCAATTGCAGTTAGAGTGCAAAGAAGTGTAGACACTGTGGTTAGGTGTTGTCACGCATGGCTTCGAGAAGGCCGTACGCAAAGAGCAAGGCGCACTGGACGCCGCCGTAGAACAACAGACCGTGAAGATCGCCGCCTAAGATTATTGGCCTTAAGGGACCGTTTCTCCACTATCAGGTCCATTGCAAATGAATGGTTTGCAGAACACGGAAGACCTATTTGCATGCGAAGTGTTTACCGACGAATGAGAAGTTTTGGCTTGTTTTCATACCGGCCACACTGGGTCCTCCCTTTAACTCGAGAACACCGACGTAATCGGCTTGAGTGGTGCAGACAACGGTCACTCTGGGATCAGGAATGGAACAGTATTGTCTTTAGTGACGAGTCTTGATTTTGTTTAGGCATGCACGATCGTCGTGCCAGGGTTAGAACGCGACGTGGTGAAAGGAGGAATCCACAGTTTTTTGTTGAAGGACATGTTCATCACACTGTTGAAGTTATGGTTTGGGGTGCTATAGCTTATGGTTCCAGGTCACCTTTAATCTTCATCAGAGGTAACATGAACGCGCAGCGTTATATCCACGAAGTTCTAGAACCCCATCTTTTACCCTATCTTGACACCCTGGCAGATCCAACTTTCCAACAAGATAATGCCCGACCACATGTTGCAAGAGTCACAATAGACTTCTTTCAACATAATGATGTCACATTGTTACCATGGCCACCAAGATCTCCCGACTTATCCCCAATTGAGCACGTGTGGGATATGATGGGTAGGAGATTGCACAATTTGCAACGTCCTCCTCAGACTCTAGAAGCACTTCGAGAGGAGTTGGTGGTTGCCTGGAATGAGATACCACAGGAGGACATTGACCACCTGATCAGAAGCATGCCTAGGCGCGTTGGAGAATGCGTAGCACATCAGGGTGCATCCACAAATTATTAAAGGTCAAAGGGCTTCAAAGCAGTGCAATCATTTTGAAATTTTTATCATTTACTTGCTTCATTGAGTACTTATACAAAATTTTATTAAAATAAAACCATTTAAACTGGGCTGTTTGGATTTATATGTCACTTAGTATATCTACAAAAATAAAATTAGCAATTTATAGTACAGGAGCCCAATGGGGGATTTTTGGGATTTACTTAAACGCGACAGAATACGATAAGGCCTTGCATTCTTGCCCTTTATAGGGGTAGGCCTAGCGTGTCCGGTCAGAATAGTAAAGAAGTCGATGTTAGAAATACTCGACCAAGGTGGGGTAAATTATGTGCTGAAAAGTGTGTATTTCAATCATCTGACGACTTGAGTGTGACGTGAAGGAGTGGAAGGGTCACAAACTTGCAAAAAAAACTTTATAAAGAATGAAGACAACGAAATGCGGTTTTCTCTAGTTTGTATGTTTTTTCCTGCACTTTCTGAATAATGAAAACTAATAATACCATTGCACCTGAAGTTTCCGAAAAAAAAGACATTTTCAATTTTGAGGTTAGATTTGCGCCGTCTGGCAGAGCTGAAAATAATTTCCCGTACTTTCTCTTGGTTGCTTTTATTTTAAAATATATGTATAATATGGGGCAATGTCAAAAATGTCAATATCTGACGCATCCGAGTATTTCAATGTAGCTGTTTTTTAAAATTTTTGCCATCTTGTAGACGCTCCCCCACCACTAAAAGGGTGCGATCTAATCTTCGAAACTCGTCCATACGACGCTCAAGAAACAACCCTTTTAGCATCTCGGGCCCCCAATTAGTAGATTTTGTAACATGTCACTCAAAAAAGGGAACTTTTTGAAATCGAGACAAGTTTTGAAGAAGTTACGCTCAAAAACAATAACACAGTATTTCTTTAAACATGTGTTCCAGATGCCTCCTTATACAGGGTGTTTTAGAAAGACGCGCCAATACTTCGAGGTCAGAAAGTACATAAAAAAAAGTTCTCCTGAATATATGACCAAAGATGAGATACAAGGTGACGCAGTTTTATTTACGAAATTGAAAAAAGTATATATCTACGCAGCTGGTAAATATACTGAGTTAAGATTTAATAAGTTTCGTAAGCATGTCACAAACAACACATACACAGAGTTTCCGGCCCAAACTAAACCAGGGAAGTAGAAACTGGAGTATCTGGACCCCTCATAGGAAATATTCTCTACGCCACTGGCCTTTTCGGAGAAAAGAAGTGCATTTTATAAAATACCGTATAATTTCCCATACATTTTGTCTCCTAAGGAATTTTCGTCAAATCACTAGTTTTGGAGATATTTAGGTTTTGAATATTTGAGGCAAAATCCTTAAATATTTTAATGAAAAGGTTTACCTATTCTGAAAACATCGTGTAGCTTGATATTGGAAGTACTATATGGCATGTGGAGAAAGCTATGACACCTCATTACATCAGTAATTGAATAATATCGATTTCGTAAATAAAACTTCATCACTCCGTATCTCGGCAGGACCAATATTACTGATCAACAGCCAAAAAATATCCTAAATCAAATCAACAAAATATTACTATTTTTAATGTGCTAAAACCGGAATGAAACTTATTTTTTCAATATTAGTTCAAGTTTTAGAGATACGGTAATTATATGTGTTCCTGCTGTGACTGTGTTAATATACTGCAATTCACAAGAATGCACGTGCTACATTTTTATATTCGGCAAGGAAAGATGATGTAATCGGCATGATTGTGTTACGTTATACATACGTGTACATTATATTGTTTTATATTAGCCATTTTTTCCTCAGTTGGCTGACAGCGTTCAGTTTTGTTACGTGTGTGGTGTGACTTTTGCGTCTCAGAGACGGTCTATTACTCCACTAATAACAAAGGCATATCAGCTTTATTTCGGTTGTAAACTAGGTGATCAAGACAAACAGTGGGCACCCCACGTCTGCTGTAATACATGTGCTTCAAGTCTGAGGAGCTGGTTAAATGGCAAAAAACGGTCTATGCGCTTTGCTGTCCCAATGGTTTGGAGAGAGCCTACAAATCATATTAATGATTGTTACTTTTGCATGGTACCTTGTGTTGGACAAGCCACAGGTATGTCCAAGAAAAAAAAATCGGTTATTAACTACCCAAACATACCATCTGCGATGAGACCTGTGCCTCACAGTGATGAAAATCCTATTCCAAAACCCCCAGAATCCTACACTTGCGAATCAGAAAACGAATCAGATCATGGCGATCGAGTGATTCGTCAGGAAGAAGATATGCGATCAACGTCAAGAGATCCTGATTTTATACCGAGCACGTCATGCCACCAACCGCACAAAATAACACAGTCAGAATTAAATGATCTTGTAAGAGATTTAGAACTTCCAAAATGTAAGGCAGAGTTACTTGGATCAAGACTGCAGCAGTGGAACTTGTTAGAAGACGATGTTTCGGTATGTGTTTTTCGTAAACGCCACAAAGACTTAGAACCATTTTTCAATATGGAGAATAACTTGGTTTTCTGCAGTAACATTAACGGCTTACTGGCGACTTTAAATATAAACTATAACCCAGAAGAATGGAGATTGTTTATAGACAGTTCAACATTGAGTTTAAAGGCAGTGTTATTGCATATTGGAAATATTTTACCATCTCCTCCTGTAGGGTATGCAGTTCACATGAAAGAATCATATGACAATATGAAGTACCTATTGACATGCATAAAATACGATGAGCACCAATGGCATATTTGTGGCAATTTGAAAGTTGTTGCACTTTTACTTGGGCTGCAGCTAGGCTACACAAAGTTTTGCTGTTTTTTGTGTGAATGGGACAGTCGGGCAAAGGCACTTCATTACACCAGGCAAAACTGGCCTGTTCGTCAATTCCTAGAGCCAGGTCAAAAAAATGTACAGCATAAGCCATTAGTAGATTCGAAAAAAAATTTATTACCACCACTGCATATCAAGTTGGGCCTAATGAAAAACTTTGTCAAGGCATTAGATAGAGATGGGTCAGCTTTTCATTACCTGCGTCAGAAATGTCCAAGACTAAGTGAGGCAAAGGTTAAAGAAGGTATTTTTGTTGGACCACAGATTCGAAATATTTTGAAAGATACACAGTTTGAAAACACTTTGACAGGTATTGAAAAAACTGCTTGGAATGATTTCAGTCTGGTGGTCACTAATTTCTTGGGAAATATAAAAGCTGACAACTATAAAACCCTTGTCAAAAATATGCTGTCATCGTATCAAAAGATGGGCTGTAATATGTCTCTTAAGATACATTCCCTACACTCACACCTGGACTTTTTTCCTGACAATTGCGGAGCCGTCAGTGATGAGCACGGCGAACGTTTTCATCAGGATATTTCAACAATGGAAAAAAGGTATCAGGGAAAGTGGAATCCTTCCATGCTTGCAGACTACTGTTGGACTCTTGGTAGAGATGCTCCAGAAACGATTCATAAAAGAACAGCAAAAAGACAGCGCATATAGTGATTCTTATAAGTATATGAATCTTGTTACTTTTTTTGATATATCCTTAAAAATAAAAAGTT